GAAGACCCGGGAGGGGGGGGACAAATACCGGCACCCCCAAACACCAAAAAAAAAACCAATCCCCCCCCCCCCCCCCCGCGAACGACATCAACAGGTTGCCTCGGAGCTGGGGCGGCTGCTCCGGCCGCTCAAGGGCATGTGCCACGTGAACATCATCCCCCTCAACCCGACGGACGGGTACAAGGGGGGGCCGTCGATGGCCGATGCCGTGAACCAGTTCGTGGAAGTGCTGGCCAAGAACGGGGTCCCGGCAACCCCAAGGCAAGCAAGCGCGTTGTCCAGTATTTAGCCTTCGCAGGACCTTTTTGTTTTCTTGTTATAAAGTAAACGTGTTGGACGCAAGCATGCGATTGGGGAAGGTTGAGTTGGGGAATAAATAGGGTCTGCGTACCCCCATATCTATGTTGTACTTCGTTCCTCATTCGCTTCATTTACTGGCGAAGGCGCCAGTCAGGCGTGGTGTTGTTGTTGTTGTCGAGGGGGCTTGTAGTGTTCGGGCTGACAGCGTTCTTCTAGTCCACGCATCAAGCACTCGTCTGTCTGCCGTAGTAGTGTACTTGTGCTGCTTCCAAGGCGTAGTTCTAAAGGCTGACGGCGTTCTTCACGTCTACAGTATTTCCTGAACTCGTCTGTCTGCCGTAGTCCTTCCTACCCCTGCTGCTGTCAAGAGGCAGAGGCTTCGGTACTAGCGTAACAGGCTGCAATCAAGTAGTAACCCAAGCCCGGAGGCAAGAGGCAGCGTTTCTCGACGGGGGCAGGGGTAAAGATGGGATCGTGATGATGCGTCGAACTGGGCGTCTCGAGATTTTCGTGAATCAATCCAATCGTCTGCCTTGACGATTGCGCACCTCAAACAACAACAACCGGGATTTTACCTAAAGCAACAAATCTGGACTCGTGTATCTCTTCCTTGCAAACTCGACAGGATACGAAGAGGGATCGATATCGACGCCGGCTGCGGGCAGCTGACGGCCAAGGTTTCGCAAGACGAAGTCCTCGGCAAGGGGTTGCTGTGATGTTCTCTCCACAACAGCAATGTCGTATCCATCATGCGCAAACAAAAGGATGTGTCTGTGTGGAACGAACGCTCTGCGCGATCCCTTGGGTAGGAGGCCTCTGCGGCAGGCACTTGCTTGGAGGCCGGCTTTCGACGATGCTGCCGCACGGGACAATCTCTAGGGTAGCCTGTGTGCAGTATTAGTAGAAAAATATCTTAATACTCTGGAACACGATGATGTCCGGTTGGTACATTGCTAGCTGGGGCATCTTTGCACGATGGTGCGCCGAGCGTAAGAGATGCGCGCGAGTTCTTCCGAAGCATTCGGTCCATTTGTTGTCCTGTACGCCCCATGTATTGTAGCATGCGCTTGCTTTGTACCACGCGGCCTGCAACGTCCTGCTGGATCCTGAGCTTGTTTTTGAGTCACAGGTGGAAGCCTACACACTCGCAACGGTTGCATTTCGACGTCCGGAATAGAGAAATCGGGGTGTCAAACACACAAACACACACATGCGGTGCAGAAGGAAGTAGAGCTACTCGGAGGGAAGGAAGATGGCTGCGTGCGCCATAAGGCCTCTCTTTTAAGCTGGTTTGCTTGTTTTTTTTCGGGAGGGTGGGTGCCATGGACTTTCGCTTTATTCAGAACAATTTTGTTGCGCCTCGGCGGCGGTGTAGTGTTTGTGTGGGCCTGCAACACCCTTGTACCCGCAGATACCGGGATGTTAAACGCCATCCTGACGAGGAAAGGGCAGCAGAAAGAGGCTGCTGAGATGACGGATACGGATCGAAATAAAATCAACTCAAGGTCCAAAAAGGCAGGAAAATGTAGCGCAACAAATGATAGCAATTATTGTCGTTTCCACATGGTTAACCTTTTGGCGGTTGGTTGTCGCCGTACATGTAGTGGTGGAGACAGGGGGGGATTGATTCCGGCCTTTGCTCATCATCATCTACAGCCAGAAAACAGAAGACAAAAGAGAGACGAACCAATCCGGCGAGAGCACAAGAGAGGTCGGTTTCTGTCTCGAGCACCATCGAGCAGACAGCGATCGCCAAGCCAACGCCGATGATGACCCGAAAAAAGGGGAGGCTAGGCGAAAAACAAAAAGACATCGGGTCAATGCCGGCATTTTGAGACTTTTCGACACCTAACAACAGCAGAGGAGCAATAATAGGTGTCTGCCATATATAAGAATCAAACTTACACGAGAGAAACTAAAGGAGGCATTTCGATCAAAAACATGCCGCAAGCAGAAGCAGCAAAGTACGGCTAGCTGTGCAGCTGACTACAGCTATCTGGCACTTTCCACCCTAGCTAACAGAATACCTAGCCCACACAAGTTGCACCCTAGTCAGCGCATCCGCCTCAGCAATAAAAAAAAAAAATAACAGCGAGCACCGAAACTACTTCTACATGCATGTATGTGTAGAAAAAAACAGAAACACAAAAACAAACGCGAAACAAATGCGGTTCAACAAAGCTCGTCCCTCCTACATCGTATGCGTGTGTGGTAGCGATGAACGGGCGCTTTTTCTAAATAGATCATCTCCACATGCACCCGGGAACAAGGGGAGCTCGAGTCACAAACAGATCTTAACCCAACACTTTAAGCGCAAGTCCCGCCTGCTGCAAAATACTGTAATATCGTTCCTCGCACAAAGCAGTGTAACATCTTGCCGAACAAGGTCTTCTACTGCCCTCCCGCCCCCCTCCGCGGCTGGCTCCCTTTTCAAGTGCACCGCGAACGATTTTCGCAACAACACAGAAAAAACAACAACCGGGTAATTAACAATTCAGCTAACGGTTGCCCCCCCTCTCCCCCCCCCCCTCCCTCCATGACACCACAAGAACACTCACTGATCGCCAACGTGAGAGACAACCACACCTCCTATCACGACCCCCCACGCCCAATAACCGCAAGCCAATACTTTTTGCTCATCTTTTCCTTCGCACAAATGTCATGGGAGGGGGCGACGCGAAACGCATAAACCACCCGGTGCTAGTGATCGATCTCGTACCCGCAACAAGACGGGATATTGGGGGAGAGAGAGGGAGTCCACCCGCTTCCGACACGCCAGAGTGCAGGCAGCAGGGATCATGATTGATTCCGAGCATAAACACAAACACCAACAAGAAATAAAAAAAACACACACACGGTGACTAAACTAGAGCAGCAGCAGCAGCAGCCCCCCTCTCTCCTGCAATTCCCCCTCTCGCTCGCTCGCTTGCTTGCTCCGCTAGGTGCTAAGTCGTAGGCGTTTTGGATCCGGCTCTCCAGATGCCCCCCCCGCCGCCGCTCCTTCTGCCGCCACCGCCGCTCCATCGCCGCCGGGCGATGTCCCCGGCTGCTGACCTCCTACCGTCCGTGGCCCCGGGGGCGACAGCGGCGCCTCCCCCCCCCCACCGTCTTCGCCTTGGCCGGCACGAGGATCTCTTCCTTCCTGCCTGCTGCCTCTGGGAAACGCCCCCGCCCCCGCCCCCGCCCCGCCGTTCGAGACTGGACTACTGCTACTGCTACTGGTGCCGCCAGCACCGCCGCCGCCGCCGCCGGAAGACTCTTGTGCGCTGCTCCTCTCGCTAGGGGAAGGGGACGACGACCCCTTTCCCGCCCCCGGCGTGTTCTTCTCACCCTCCTCGTCCCCATCGCCAGATCTTCCGTCCGACTCGACCGCCATCGGCGTCACAGCCGCACGCCCCCCGCCGCCGCCGCCGCTTTTATCATCCCCCCCCGGCCCTTGCCCACCGCCGCCGCCGCCGTCTCTCTCGTGGGAGGCGTTCTGCTTCTCCTGGAGGGGGGACGGGGAAGGGTCTGATGATGCACCGCCGACACCGGCGTCGTCGTCGCTGTCGTCCTCTTCGTCTCCGTAGGCTACAAGCTTCAACCCTGCGTGCGTTGCCGTCGATTTTTTTTTAATATATTGTGGTTGTTCCGGGAGGAGGGCCACACGAACGGTTTAGTTTGTAAATGACATGAGAGGTTTCGGATGGTTGAATGTACGCGTACGCGTCGGTTGTTTCGGGAAACAACGAAAAAAAAAAATAACAACAACAGGGGGAAGCAAGAGGCAAAACCGAGCGACATCAGTCCCTCTGAAGCCAACAACACCATCAAGACAGCACGGCAACAAACAAACAGCACGGCGGGTTCAAAGCCAGCCCACTTCCAGAAACAATACCAGATCAATCCTCTTTCCACACAATCCCCCCCCCCCCCCGGTAGCACAACCGCGACACAACTCACCCCCTCCGGCCCCACCCCCGTTTGCGTCGTGAGGCTCCCCGCCCGCCGCCGCCGGCTGCGGCCCCGCGTCGTTGTCGTCGTCGTCATCGTCGTCGTCTGACTCGTTGAAGTACGCCTCGTCTCCGTCTTCCTCCGCCATGCGCCGCCGGTTTTGGGCGGCCCGGTTACCTCTGCTTGGACGACGAAAATGGTAGTGGCAGTGGTCGCGACAGAGAGAGAGAGAGGGAGAGAGAGACGGCCGTGTTTTGATTCTTTAATTAGACGGGAGGCCGGTTTGCTCAAACCGTGGGGGGTATTATTGTGGGAACCCACCCACACACACACACACATGCACGATTACCCTTTGACTAGAGAGTGTTCGTGTTTCTTATCCCGCTACACAACAAGACCGACGCCTTGTGTTTTTACTGGTTAGCCGGCTAGAGCGGTCGATGCTACTAAAGAAAACACACACACACACACACACACACACACACGCCCGGCTGAACCGGACGGAATACGACACGCCAGAAAGATAGACGTTACACATCACACACAAATACAAGTAGGCGTGTCGGCGATATACAACAACAGAGAAACAAACGGCACATATGGGCGTGCGTGTGTTTGGTTCAGCACAAGCTGAGAGGGAAGAAGGCACGAGTCAACCAGAGGGGGACGCGCGCACGACTCCCGCCTGCCGCAAACGCCCTAAAACAAAAATACTTCCGAGTTTTTTCGCGTGGCCTAAAGCAGACGCGAAGGGGAGCTCCCGTGTGTTTTTATTGAATACTTCGAAGAAATCATAAAACAAAGGCGAAGGGGATGTGCTCAAGTCTTTCAGTGAGTGGAGGGAAACCAGCTCGAAACTGGGCGTATTTTGAAGTCTGTTCAAGCCTATACACTGAACTACACCACTGATGCCAGCTATTATAGTGTGAAAGCACAAAAGCACCTGCACAGGTAGGATGGTACAATGTTACAACACATCCCCTGTAATTCTCTACAGGGTCAACGACAAAAACTCCCCCCCCCCCCAA